GTGAGATGTCTGCCCCGATCGGCACTAGAAGTACGCAAAGGAAGTCCCGATTCTCTGATATGTTTGACGAGAGATAAGATAAACAATGAAAGAACTGATGGCTATTACGAACAATACCGGCCCTACGAGTTGACTGTCTTTACAGACACTTTGTCTTTCAATATACCCAACAGTTGTAAGGATTTTATGCCGAACTGCACACCAGATTACAGTCCATTCAGTGTCCGCTTGAGGCCCGGGAAGAGACGGGAATCGCTGATAGGGTCGAGCGGTTCCAAACTGCCGCCACCACCCAATCCATCGGTGTCTGGCAGAGCCTCCACATCGTCGACAAATAGCAGTGCGAGTGAATTGGAGAGCGATTCCGATGATGACGACCAGTCGACCTATGATTTTGTCAACTTTCGTGCCGACAATTCAGACAACGAGGAGTCGTCTCAAAATCCTAGCTCTCCCTCGAAGACACCTGAAGTTAGATGGGATTCAAACCGAACGTATGGATCGTTGGTTAGGAAACCCCTGCAGAAAGATGTGGAACTCTATAAGAATTATGTGAATATAGCTGAGAGTGCGGGAGAAGTGGACAAAACGATGGCTAATAAGACATACAAATTGATTGTGAATTCGAGTGAATATTCTGATACGAGTTTCTCTGTGAAACCTCCAGTGGTTTCCAAAACTAGTTTAGATGTTTATAAAGAGTATTTACGATTAGGACAGACAGGTGTGTCTAAAGTATCTGTCAATTCTTTGCAGTTATATAAACAATACGTTAAAAATAGGGATAAAAGTGAATATTGAATTATACAGTACAGTATATTGTTTTTAAAGTATTACTCGTACTGTCTGTGATCACACATTAATTGTCATTATTTGTAAATTTTGCTTTTAATTTATATTAAGATTTTTGTATTTCAATAGTTTATTGATTATCAGTGAAAAACAATTATTGTTTTTAATTTGTTTTGTATTTAATATAATAAATAAAATCTCTATTAGTCTTATGTATTATATACCGGTATATATTTTTATTGCAATATATTATTGCACTCTTTCTTCACATTTAATAATTAATAATAAGATCTAAATTGGTTTTAATTGTTGTCAATCTCTATAAGTTAGTAAATTTAATAATAGAAAAGTCTCGACATATCATCAAAATTGTATCGCAGAATGAGTTATCATTTTTTAAAAATCAATTCAAAACAAACCGTTATTCGCATCCAAACCTTCAAACACTTCATTTCATACTAATTTTAGGAATCAATTCAGAGTCTGAAGAATAATTATGCCATCAGTTAATGCCAGAGAAATACTCAAGAATTGCACAAATAGTGAGCCACACTTTCTTAAGGGCGCAGAACCATCAGATCCGGAATTGAGACAATTAGTGGTGAAAGTCATTCATAACGCGATTGCTTTGTCTAAATGCCCCAAAACTATGAAAGATGTGTTGAACCTAATGGTGATGGGTATGCTCACCGGCACTGGAAGGCGATGGGCCTGCGGTGTTGGTCAGAGCTTTCTCATGGATCCAACTATAGTTTATGTCTGCAATGGATTCGTGTTTGTGTTGTCGTAATGAAAGACATATTCAAATCTCTTTTATTTCTATATATTTTTATATAATTTATAATTGAATTCAATACCAAAATTTGTTCATTTCATGTTTATTCTTATAAATAAGTTATTCATTCATAACTCATTTGTGTATCATTTTATTTTGATTATCAATTTTATCAAACAAATGACAATTAATCTTAAGATTCTTAATCTTCTTATTCGACGATTCTTTGGAAAGTCTTTCCACACAAAAAGGTTTGATTATATCGATCACCAGTTTATTCCTAAGACTTAATGCATTTTCATCGACAGAAAGTCTAACTCTTAAGGCATCGAAAAGTTTAAGTTTGCGTTTATTAACCAAATATTGTTGAGTCAAATCAAACTCATTGTACGACCAGTCCTCCAATGGGTTCAAGAAATAGCTCACTTCAAGCTCTTGAGCTGTTGAGATCTCTTATAATTATTGTAATTTTTATTCAAAATAAAATAAAATGAATTACAACACCACTGACTAGTATCTAATTTATAATTAAGAATTTGATAAAATTTGGCAATTCTTTAAAAATGATGTATTAAATATGCAAAATATATTTTGAAAACTAAATTTTGAAATACAATAAATAAGTATTAATATCTGATAATTGAAATCAAATGTGTTTTAAGGCTTTTTTATAGTCTTATTTATCGGAGGCTTCGGTGTACCGGTTGAGGGAGCCTTTCTGGGAGTGGTAGCCGTTGTAATCGGTGGTACGGGTGATACCGGCGCCGCATTCAACTGTTTCTCATTGATTAGATTAATGGAAAGTAAGACAATGAGAGACAAGTCTAGCATTGAATAGGCGATCAAAACCAAGTGATGNCTGTTTAGTTCGACTGCCGGCCAGTAGTCTTCCGGCGGCCAAAGAGTTATGCAAATAAAAGTCAGTATACAAGTCCCAAATGGAGGCCCCTTTTGTGGGCTTAAAAACACCCAAAAATAAATTCATAACATTTTGCTTCTCAGCGTCCGAGAAGGCATTACTATAATAACGGGATAGAGTTTGCATGATATCGCGGGAATGGGAGGAAAGGGGCGCTATCTTCCTGTACGTCTTGATTCGGTGCACTAACTGAGAGCCGCCGTATTGTAGGGCCAGAGTGTCACCGTGGTCTTCATAGAGCTCCTCAAGCATGCGGACAGTGTCCGATTCAAACTCCAGTTCCGGTTTCGGTAGTATTCCCAGCGAATAGAGTTGGAAAGCGAGGGCCACTTTGCCCAAAGCGAACTGAGCCGTATTGGTTCGGTCCAAACAGTCCACACAATTCACTCGAACGATACCTGTCTGTAGAATACGACCACAACTCAACCGATGTCCGCCAACACTTCGCTTATCTTTTTGAAGGAACGACCAGTTGTTTGAATTTGAGTTTGACTGTTGGTTAAGACACGTGCCTTTGCTCTGAAAAATGCCCGTCTGTTTGAGGGTATGGTAGGCTATGTCGGCCAACCGGGTCATGACGTTTGCGTCCTTCAGTTTGTTAACCCTCGCCATATCAAAGCCTATGTAATCAATCCGATGCTTCGGTGGCAAGAATTGGTTCAAATAGTTGACAGTATTCATGAACTCATTGCTTAAGACACTCTCATGGGGTTTCTGTTCCCTCCGCTTCACCAGATTTAACACAATTATCGGCGAACCGTAACTATAGAGCAGTTGATTGAAGTGATGTCCAGCGACGGCGTAAAACGGGTCCATTATATCCAACTGAATGGTCGGTTTGGGAACCATTTTCGAGATATCTTGCGACCAATACGACGGAACCGAACCACGCATTTGCACGAAAGAGGTGTAGAAGCCGTCGGAGAAGGAGGACACGGAGGCGTCGTGTACTATCTGCTCGGTTATCACCTCATTGGCCACATCGCCCTCGCAATTGGCGCCACGCTTTAGAAAGCGAGTGCCGGCGAACTTCTTGGACCTCTTGGCGATCAAAGTCAGATGAATGGGTCGTCCGAAGACACTGATGTTGTTCTGAGCGACAAACCCGTGGCAGACATACAGAAGCCAATCGGGATGTAAGTCCAGTGATTGAAGCAAATACTCATTCCATACGAACTTGAAGTTTGGTTTAGTTCTCACACCTCCTGAATGCAACTCATAGTTCTTCGGCGAAGACTCGTCACCACCGGACGTATTCTTCTCCCATATCGTCTTCGTTTGGCGCCAATCATCTGCTAAACCTTCCGCTCCGGAAGAATGACTATGAAGTCGTGTATCACTCATATTGTACTGCAATGTATGGCTCAAGTCATACGAGTAGCTGAAGTAGAAATTGGACGACAGGTCCACGTTTTGGAACAGCTTATAGTACTTGAGCTCTTCGTAGTTGGATTTGTCCA